AAAGTATGAGTATAAAATTGATACAGATAATGTCTGCAAAAAGGTCCAAGTCTAGATTTATTATTAAAAAGGTCGTGATTGAAGATTTATTTTTAGAATAGTATAAAGCGTAGAGTGCATCTCGCGCTGCAAGTTTTTTAGCTGTTACGCACACAAAAACGTACCTATTTGAAAACTAGCAAAATGTCCGAGCAGCCCGCTACTCGCTCCGCTTTAAGCTCCGCGCGTTGATGCCCACGGCCTTACCCAACGTTGTCAATTCCGTCCAAGGTTCACTTCCGTGAATTACTGACCAATGAAACGTCTCCGCTAACTCACCCTTCGTAATAATATAGGACACCGCGGTGTCGTCATAAAAATATGTTTAATGATCTCATAAACATTCGATATGTTCACGGCGGTGCGCTGAAAGCCTGCTCTTACTCTAAGTGTGCGTTATGTGTATCTATAAATCTGGGAGTGTTCCATTTATTACGGCTCTATCGATACCGGCATTACTGTCGAGTTAAATATTTATAACGATATCAGACTTTATAATCATTGGATGTGGGGACGGTCGCGAGGACGTAGGTCGGTGAAGTGCGCACTGTAATTCTCTAGGTAGAACTTTCTAGCTTTATTTGAACATGTTCGAAGCTGTATGTGTTGACTACATCTGAACTGTTTGTTATTAGATTTATTTAAAACCGAATCCTTTTGAAATTGAAGTTTACTTGAACAGCCTTCGGGTATGAATACTGATCTGTTGTATAGGGTTTGGAACCTGTCCCTAGATACAGTAGTTAGGTAGGTAGGTAGTAGCCCTCATCGAATATTAGGTACCTAGGTACCTAGTTAGAATTTTAGTAAATGGTATCGCTACCTTTATTTTCTAAAATATCAAAACAGCCTTTGAAGTTAAATTAGTCTTAAGCCTCTCAATGCTGAACTATTATTTTTTATTCTGACTTCCACGAGGCTCGAACATAATACGTTGGAAGTTCCACAAAGGTAGATTTCCCAGTGAATTGTCTCGAAATTTCCCAAGCCCTAAGCCGCCCTCCCTTCGTCTCCTCGCTATTACCGCAAGTTTCGTTATTAGCAACTGTGTTGGAAAGTTATAAGAGAATCACCTTCATTTAAGTTAAGATTAAATTCTTAGTGTTATACGCAATAATTCAGCATCATCAATCTCGTGTTTTGACTTTTATTGCAAGTAATTTAATGGCTTAATATTTATGGTGCACAAATTGTGCTCACACAAGACGCGGTCGTGCTTCAACGATTACGTTGTACCAAAATTTCCTCTTTTATATATTTTTTAACAACTTTCCTGTATCGTAAGTCAAACATGCCTTTTGTAGATCTATTATCATAATCATGTGAATAATAAAGTTTAATGTCCTTCCCGGAACTGTGTCCTCATAGGGTAAGAAAAGATGTTTTTCATTTATTCTAGAAACTCATATAAATAAATAATTAACTGTCCTTTCAAATCCATTAAGAAACAAAACGTACACAAATGTACATGTACAAATGCCCCACAAAATGCTTCTCCGTAAAGTGTCTTGCGCGAAGGGCCTTTATGAATACCATATGAGGAGGCCGCTTTTTTACGCACAAAATCGGCATGGAATCAAAGTCCACATGTCCGTTGCGGCCTACCTTAATTTTCCTCTTGCCCCACGCCCTGAATACCAAAGAAAGGACGGACATCAGCTTTGCCCCAAAGCACTACGGGATTTCCATACAAATTATACAAAAACTTCATTCTAACATCTCAGTTTTTATCGTAACAACGGTTAATCATGTTACAATATTAAATTTAATTTTGAGGAAGTACTTGCGGGAACAGTTTTCCGTAACGCTGTTGAGAAGCCGACAATGCCAGAGTAATTTTGCTTATTTCGGCTTAAATTACTTGATCTCGTTTACGGGCCTTTGAAGATTGTGCCAAGTTTTCGCAAACTTTGTGTCTAATTTATTATTTAGCGTCACTTTCTCGTGTTTATGTTGCGTAGGTTAATTGTGGAAAACATTTCTGAACTGCTTTTAATATTAGACACGACTTATTTTACAAGATAAATCAAAATGCATTAATTTTATTATTCGTGTAACTGAATATTTTTATTTATTACTTAGATAACACTTTTTCTCACAACAAAGTAGCTCAGGGCCCTTTTACTTTAATAAAAAATCAGTAATGTTGAAAATATTTTTTGAAGAAGTTCTAGAAGATCTATTTGCTTTAACAATAGTTCCTTTTGTTTTACCGTATAAAAGGTCATCTAAAGCCAATAATATTTCAGCGTAGTACACGCTATTTTCCTCATCAGCACCATAATTACTTAGCGCGAACTAAATCAGCGAGAAACAATTTTGTTAGCAGCGTCGCGCGTCGCCGTCGCCGGCTCCACTTTCATTCCGTCAGAACTTTGGAAACTTATCTTAGTTAGCGACGATCAATTTTCATTTACCGTCGATTATAAAATTTCCGAGATGAGATAGTGTAACGTAAGTTTTCCCATTTTAAATGCCCCGGCACAAATTCTCCCAGGATTACGGGTAAAATAGGCTACCAGTCTCAAATGAAATAATAGGCCGCACGGTTGAGATGTCGGGTATATTACCCAAAATCTCGGGGATTTGAGATCTTTTTCTTATAATCATTATTTACTAGAAATGTATGAAAATAAATCTTTGAGTAAGTACTTGTACGAAAATAATTTTCATTACCATAATTAACGTGGTACTAGGTTAAGGGTATTCTCAACATGAGCTCGTGTTTCTGATTAAACATAATTCTTCTTTTATATGAACAACCATTACACTCATCAAAAGAGCTCGTTTATATGAAAATATGATACAGGTACGCAGGTAGGTAATGTAACCAACGTGTTACTAGGCACATTTGTAATCCTCTGAAGTAATTATATCGGATATTTCTGTACAAAAGAAATCATGCCATATCACATACCCGTTTAATTAATCTAAGCCTGTTCAAACGCTTTCCCAATTACAATTCAGAGAAGTAAAAGCTAATAACAAAACATTTCTTAATAAATAAAGAGGAACCTCCAGATTTGTTTTCGTTCCTTCCTCCTCAGTTGCGTATTTACATATTACACAAGCGGAAGACCTGCGATACATTTGCAAGATGATAAACAAAACGGAATACGGGAAGTTATAATTTACGGAATTTGGACGGTCGAGTAGCAAGGGCTGGGTCCTGGAGGTCTATTCTCGAACTACTCTGGATTTGCATAACTCCGTCTCTACCTGTCTCTCTCACTCGTGTTAAAGTNACTAAAGTCACTGGGTGAAGAAAAGAGACAAATAGGGTCGAATACATCGAAATCGCTTTACGTGATAGTCTTTGCCGTGGTGGCACACCCCGCTCGGGAACATTTGTCACAAATTAAACCATCGCGCAACATTACAATCACTCTCAACTTTTGGATCACGGAATATGATTATCTAACTTTGCTTCAACGGAACAGATAGGTAGGTATCACATTCCGGAATATTCCTACGGTATTTTAAGCGATTTGCTTTTGACTCTACATTATTTTATAAGGATCAAATTCAATTGGACTCTGGTGATTTTTTTACCAGTGTAAATAGTAGATAATAGTGTACTGTGCCACTCAGCATTATTGGAAAGCCTCTGTGACACACTATTTTATATGCACCCCTTATTTTCACATTACAAAACGTATTAAAGCTGCATAACAATCACCGAAGTGTTGTCACATAACGGCATTTTTACAGCAACAAATCTCGACACGGCATTTCAGCGCTTCAAATAAACATCAGTCTAGGGCAACAGCAACTGAAATAAATAATTCATTAGGAGCAATGACGACATCGGAAATAAAAAGGCTCTCTTCGCGTAAAGAATGGCGGTCAATAAAATATATGGTGTCTTGTCACGGTGAGGACGTGGTCAGCTCCACCAACTTATGGGCGCAGTGGACATGGGTCGATAGCAAGCAGGATCGTTTTACGCTACATTGTCTACTGATTTATGCTGAGAACTACTAGCCAGTCGTTTTTAAAATTAATTTGAGGTAAATCAAGCTTAAAATATTTTATTTCTATTTACTTCAAAACTTATAATAACAATTTGAGTCTTATAGTAACAACATTTTAAACACGATAACATTTTTTGCAAAATGTTTAGCTATTCAATTATTTCCTAAGTTCATCTATTAATTTATTATTGGAATTTCTAAATACTGACTGAGTGATAGTTATATATTAGCTAAGAAAATCAACACTACTAGAAGTAACATTCAATTATGTTTTGTTCTCTGAAATAGTTTTCCAATTTAAAATAAAATATATTATTCCTTTAAGTATTATTATAACTCAAGGCAAAACTAATTGGACATGAACTACTAAATGTAACTTTCGTATTAGACCATCCAAAAATTTTCACAGAAGAGCACAATCCTCTAGGTTTTGGCCCACTATCCATCATACTCACAGCACAGTGGGCAGATTGATCGGCGGCGGGCTGGCGCAAATATAGCGAAGAGGAACGCTGAGACAAAATGTGAGCGCAAACAAACGCTGTCGATGGCTGACAGAAGGATTGATAGTTGGTCGCCCGCTGGACATTGGGCGCCAGGCCCTGTTTTTAAACTCACGTTGTTTGTTATGGTTTGGGATAGAAACTACTAATACTTTGTGAAGATTATACGTGTTGCATCAATTTTTAAAATAGGCTTGAAGCGTTCATAGCAAGTACCTACCTGAATTTGTGACTGTCTATTCTTGAAATAATAATTAATACCATACTGCATTACAATCACCTATTAATTAGTTCTTAAAGCAATACAAAAATATATAGGTAATGTTTCAGCACTTGCTTCTTATATTTTCTACGTGATTCACATATTTCCAAGTTAATTCGAAAGTGAGCGAAAAGCTCCGACGCAGTCGATGACGACTGTCATATTTTAAATGACATCCAGGTGATAATCGCCAATTAAACATAATTTTGTTGGTTGTTGCAGAATTCGTGATGTCAGAAGGCGGCGCAGGCACCTACCCAGCGCGCTCGCCCATGTCCAGCTCCACCACCGGCCACTCCAGCTCAAGTCATCACAGGTAAGTTAACACTACGTCACAAAAACTATGTTCACAAAGCAGTATTTAATTTCGATCGATTTTGCCAATTCATGAATTCAGCTCTCGAGAAAATGGTTTAATTTTCTTTCCCTTAGTGATAGTTAGTACCCTGTACCATGGTCGTTGCTCCCACTTGCCTAAGACGCAAGAAAACTTTGACGAGGATTTTACTCTACTATTTTGCATAGGGTTAGTATATTATACATTTATATTATCGAATACCGGGACTATATAAATCTTACTTCTTACTAATATTATAAATGCGAAAGTTTGTATGGATGCCTGGATGTTAACATGTTTGTTACTCTTTCACGCAAAAACTACTGAACAGATTTTGATGAAACTTTACAGTATTATTGTTTATAACCCAGAATAACATATAGGCTATATTTTTTTTATATTAGAGGTGAAGTTTGTGTGTTTGTATATTTGTTAAATTGTAAGGGGTAATCTCGGGATCTACTGAACCGATTTGAAAAAAAATTTCACCAATAGAAAGCTACATTATTGCTGAATGTCATAGGTATAAAAAAAACCGAAAAATTCCACGCGGGCGAAGCCGCGGGTGGAAAGCTAGTGTATAATAATATTATCCACTAAATCAAAACACAGCAACAAAAACGAATATCAATTAAAATAACTGAATTCCACAAAAATATACAAAACTATAGCGGAACGAACTAGTACATTTCAAAAGCTATGCATCAGAAATTTTATTTTTGCAAACTTTTTTGCATGCTAATAATACATTTTTAAAATCTACGCATCCCAATGATGGCTAAAAGCAACGATTCAATCTACAAACAGTGCCAGTTGTGTACGACTAAACTAATTTTGTGACTTTTATTAACAAGGTTATGAAACGCCAACCGGAACGCAACACTGTGTGCGGAAGCTTTCACGTAATAAAGTCCCCGAATATGCACATAAAAGCCCACAAATTTAATAAAGAAATTTTTGCGATAAAAGAGTGCCCTGCCGAGAGGCTGAAACCTTTATTAATGCACTTATATTCTAAAATTTCCTTTGAGCTTTCAAGCCCCCCGAAATTAATCTTAGCTCTCATCAGAAGGATCGCGGATGCCGCGCATTCCGATGATGGCGTATTGAATGGCGGCGGGGCCCGCAGACAAATTCTGACGTGTCAAATTCAATAAAGTCCACTAATGTGTAATTTAACATAATAGGCCCAACCCTTGAATTCTTTGAAAACAGAATCTCGCAGCTAATAAAAAATTTACGAACCCTCGACCGCGTGCTTTAGCAAAAGTGCCTGTGACGGTCCACATTAATTTAAACTTATCCGCAGGAAAATACTTTAAACTTTAGAATTGAGAATGTACACTAATTTACATTTTTAATCCTAGTTCCGCTTACTTGGTTTTATTTAGCCACAGACGAGGGGAATTAGTGGCTTACTTTTTGTAATCTTCATTAGAAACTTTTTAATTATTCCCCCGCCTGTGCACTAGTTTAAGGAGCTGCGGAGGTAATTAATCACGGTTTACTTTATCATCACTCGACAGATACTAGCGTCTACTTTATCAATGCTTTAAGTTTCATATCAATGAACTGGAAGAATTTTACTACTAAGTCCAAATGACCACAGTAAACTAATTATAATTTGACACATACTCTGCAACGCAAACCTTACAAGGTTAATTTTAGATGTTGAATATAATAATATTACATGATGCTTGCATTCAGCTAAATCAATATGATCACAAGATTGAACCCGATATTTGTTCAAAGTGCGCACTTTCATTCCTGACACTATGTTAATGAATTTATGTACTACGAGTATTAATCAGCTAAATACTACTTATTTACGCTTNGATGAAGCGTAACTTCATGTTACGAGTTTTCATGAACAAGAAACTAGTTTCTTACAGTTGTTTTTCAATTCAGTATTTCAGTCGTTCATTAGAAAATTGAACTAAAACAAAACAACTTAAACATTCACTCCAATCTGCCCCAATCTTGGGCTAAGTAACATTAATGAAAAACACAAGCCAAAAACTTCTAATTAACAAGCTCATTACTAAGGCTTAGGGGACATTGTAAATGCATTAGGCGGTGTTCAGTGCGGCTTGAAAACTGTACTCTGTTAGACCAGGAGGTCAGAGAAACTAAGTCTGGCTTTTAAAATTTTCTTAAAAATCGTATAATTTATAAAGTGATTGCTTAAAAATCACATAAAATCGGAAAAAATATATATGCCACTAGCCATGAGATGTGTAATATTTCTTATACCTTATTCCGTGTATGTACCACAGAGAGATAACGCTGGGATGAAAGTTAATTTACTAACAAAACCCACTAAAACAAATGCTGTCCTGTTTTCAGTTAATATAAATTAAATATTGATACATCTAACATATTAATAGCGGATTTTCCTTGACTTTATAAACTTGTCACTTCGTTTCACCCATCACCTGGTCTACGTTCAATGGAGCTGAAACTCTAAATTCTTTTTTCTTGTCCCATAATGTGCTACTCCCTCCCACACTTAATGTAGATAAAAGTAAGTACCTAGAACCTACATTAAAATTTTATGACCATTTCAGTTTTAGGTAAGTTATATTAATACCAATTAAAATGAGAAACATACAGTTTAGGATTAAATAGCTAAATATCAAACAATATTAATATTATTGTCATATTCTGACAAAAACGTAATTCATTTCATCTGTTCAACTGTCTTCCAGTAATTCATAACTACGTTAATTTATTTAATGACGTAAAACAGAAGATATGTCAAAATAACATTTATTTCATAAAAGTGAAAGATGATTATTGCTAAACAGCCGTGATTCAGACTGCACACGCTTAACTGCACCTGTGCAAGGCGAGCCGCCTCCCATGTGACGTCACATTTTACGTAATTAACGTACGTCGCACTACGTAGTTAGACGGCAGTACCGTACACAACACAGAAGAGGGCAGAAGAACCAAGTTAGTTTAACTCATTTATCTTTAAAATTTTGTTTCATCTGTTGCTGATAAACTCCCTGATTGTCTATTGAAAACTTATCTGACACATTTATACAACTTTTGGTTTCACAAATCTCGGATAATAATAATGTGGAAGATAAAGTCAGCAATAGCACCTTTATTTCGCAGATATGAAATGAAAAGGAATATACACCACATGTCTTCTCGTAATCTCAGGGATTATAACTTTACCTGTATGGGTAGAAATACTAGGCCTGATAGTTTAGGTTAAAAAACATTAGCCAACATAAATACGGCCGAAGGCGCATTGTTATTGTGCATTAAATTTTTCAGTTAGAAATGCCACAAACAATTTGATTTCAACATAGAAAGTGCTATTTCTAGTGCAAGTTTTGACCACTGTCCATTCCTACATTGCTGTCAGGACACAGCGTCCACAAGCCTCCGACGTTATTCGAATACATTAGGTGCCAGCACGTGCTGTGACTGACCGAACTGCGGCTATCTCCCCAGTCTGCAGCCAAACCGGCCTAACGCCTCCAACAGGTTAACAAATTGGGTCTACAAAAGCCTATTTGGGGAAATTAAAATTACTGAAAAAAAACTATAGTCTACAGTGTTTAGGTTGTCATGAATTGGAATTAAAATTAGTCAAAGTAATTTTGGAAACGCTAAAATTATAAGATGATTCTTACGTTATGATAACGTCATATACCAAAATTATGTCCTCAATAGCCAATTTAAACAATCAAATCATCATTTTTATAACCCGAGATCGTTTTTAGAAACTAAACAAACACTTAACCTGCTGCCCAAAAACTGGAGCATCTGCTAAAATTATCTATTTTAGACGAATAATCAACACTGTGGTTAGTATCCAGGTCTCAGCCGTCAAGTTATAGAACTACAGCTAAAGCAGCTTTAAACATGCATAAATAATTATTTCTGCTCTATATTCGCGTGCGCGTTATAAGCCGCCCACTGCGCTCCTCTGGGACATGAAAAATGTTTTTGCTGGATCTATTTACCGCCAAAACCACTCCGCAGTTTTTGTGGGAAAAAAGTTGACACTATTATTTCTCTGGCGTCAAATTAGCTGCGCTCATTTATAGTCGCCGAGTCGCTGAAACAGTTTCAAAGTGTAGAGCCTCCATGCTTATTGCACGTGATTTTGTAACAATAATTAAGTTTGCGGTAATTAATTTACTTCAAATTACTTGTAGTGGGTTAAATTATTCGTTTTGTAAGGTTTATAATTAAACTGTTTTTGTATTAACCCTTTATAATTACAGTACACAACAATGGCGCGTGTTATGCCTCTGTAAAAAGTGGTATGGTTTTCTGATACATTGAATACATTGATCGATTGATTTCTGTAGTTAGATGCAGTGTAATAAATTAATATAAAAATTAATTACGCAAAATGATGAGGCTACGAAATTAAATAACTATAAACAAATATTGGCTACACCTCTAGGATGATATAAGCAAAATATTAACGAGCATTTCATACCGTGTCTTATGGCCTCACGGGTGGAACATGCAACAGAGTGGGTCATTAATACATTATAGGGGTTCGGCCCTACGAGCCGAGCACAATTTTGCTTATTCACGATACAAGACCGCCATTTCCGAACGCGTTAGCTTTTAAATTGAACCTAAATTATGTATCGCCGAGTGTGAACACTCGATTTGTAAAGTGTAGTTAGCAGACATTCCGACTTTTTCCTTTTTCTCCGTGATAAATGGTACAATTAGTTCTGATTTTAAATGAAGGAAAATCCAAGAGGAAAATGGACGGTATTTATTGGAGATAAGAAGTGGCAATAGGAATATAAAATTATATTTCAGGTACAATTTGCTTCAGTGATTTTGAAGTGGTCAGTTCAATTAAAGACTGAATTCCTTGTTGCTTGTTGTTTTTGAACTGATATCATCAAAATGTCTGGCTAAAGCCGTCACCAATGAAGTCGGTATGGGATCGATTTCTACCTTATGAAAACCCAACCTTGAGATAAAATGTTGAAA